ATTAGAACGCCTTGTTTGGGGTGTGCGTGATATCCGGCGGAAATTGTGTACTTGTTTATTTTGTCAGTTGTCTTTTGTTGCAATGCTGTTAGATCCCTTTTCGATAAAATGCGTCATTTTACCGACAGCAAATTTTTGTGGCTTTAGGTCGTTTTCTCCATGCCACCTTATATCTCCCCCTTACTGAAAATGGTTGTCCCCAACCCATAGGTTAGGCCCATCTCAGTATAAAAGGTTCCGCATTTGCCAGGGACTCTATCTTTGCTTCTGTCTGAAATCTTCTCATTTGAATCCGTTTATACTTCTTTGTTTACTATGAGTGGTCCACCCAAGCAGTTGGACACTCTTCGAAATACACTTCGGAATCGTGCAGTCGACCTGCAGAACCGACTTGAGGACAACCAAGGTCGTTACAACTACCAAAGTTGTGCCGATGCTGAAGCTGTCCTTATAGTCTTGGTAGGTTTCCACTGTCAACATTGCAAAGTCGCTTCGACTGATAATCTGTTTTCTTCAGGCGGACATTACTCATACTCCAGAAGCACCGTCCCTTTTACAGGATACCGAGTTTATGGAGAACGAGTTCTTGCCCCGACGCCGCTCTGCGGAAGCTGTTTTCAATGCTTTGTCTTTGGAAATGCCTCGATCTCATGGCGAAGTTCAATCATTCGTCCGCCGGTATCGAGACATTTCTGAAAACCGTCGATCGTATCGTGTGGGTCATTTTCAAATCTCACCCCAAGGTAATTTCTTAGGCTAAGATCTTCGTTTCAGTCGGAAGGGAGTGGTCGTCCTTCCCAGAGACCTCCCCGTGGGGGGTCTTACGTAGGTACACCTAGGCCTGCTCCCAACCGTTCCATTGTGTCTTCTAGTCATGCTCCTGCCAGTGTCCGTGTCTCTTCTGGAGACGTGGAAATGGCGGAGACCGCACCTACTCCTCCACCAAAAAACTTCCGAGGGAAAAGGTACTTCCGAAGGAAGTAGCGTATGGTCCCCCTGTTTCTAGAATCTTATTTTCCAAATTGATATCCCAATTCGTTTAGGCTACCAAATCTTCGAAAAAGAAGAAAGGCAAGAAAAAGGAGGAACCCATCCCCATTAGTGATGATGAGGCCCCAGCGGTGAATATCTCCAACTCTGTTTGTTCCATCTGTATGGTACTAATTGTTCTTATCCTTAGACAACTCAGCGTGCTAGTCGTCCTCGTACTCCCCATCAATTGGTAACGCTGTTGAGCTTCCTTACTTTCGTATGGAGTCAACTAAAGCCTCTATTACGCTTATTGCAGGAGACCACAATTTCGACCGCCGAACTGGTTGACCAGGTTTGCTGCGATCTTTCCGTCTTTGTTATATTTTCTCATCCCCAGGTTTCCAGGCTCAGAAGACTGTTTCCGCCGGACAAGAGCTCAGTCGGAAATGAGCTCGAGCAGACTCGGAAGAGGCTGCTACCACTGTCCGTCAAGTTCAAGCCTTGCGGGATCAGTACCGTCTGATCAATCCTGGAGCGGTCCAGGGAATCCTTCGTAAGCATTCCTTTACTATGTTATGGTTTCGAACTTCCGTCTGAAACTTTCCGTCAGAGGACCTTTCACCCCTTTCTGAAGCCGGTCTGGTGACTCAGCTGATGCTGTAATACACATCTAATTGTACACATCAAAATGTCAACACGACAATTGCAAGTGTAGCCGTAAGGGCCATTTTAAAAATAAATAAATAATAAAAACAGGCTTACATCATGCTATATTACCCTTTTTGGGGTGAGGTCACAATCTTTGACTGGAATTACCTGTTTGATCAGTGTTTAAGAGGCAGATTTGTCATTGGAGCTAATATGAGCCATTTAGACTCTAAATGTAAACAAATGTAAACAACATGATAAACATTGCTTTTAGAGCCTTCCCTAACCCTAAACCCTAACCCTAACACCCTAACACTAACCCTAACACTAACCCTAACATCCCTAACCACCTAAGTAGCTAGTTGCAGGGTACAGTCTGGATCCAGGGGGCATTTTTAGATAGGGGCTTTTCAGGGCTTTTTGGGGTTCAGCCACCATGGCTACTTACGTCTACACTTGCAATTGTCGTGTTGACATTATGACGTGCACAATTAGAAGTGTATTACTGTATCTGGTGGGTGACTGTACTTCATTTAGCCAGGGAGTATCAGGAAGCGTTGCTTCCGTCGGCCACTGGTGCGGGCACTTCGGGCACTCGTCGTGTTCTTGAGGCGATATCGATGCTTGAGGCCAGGATCCGCACTTCCGCATTGGAAATGGTCTTGCAGATGAACCATCTGCAAGGCTCCATCCAAATTCTCCAAGATCTTCTTGGGGAAAATGCTGCTTTGCTCTCTGGTCCCGAGATTGATGGTCTTCGCCAGCTGGTCAATATTACTGGTCTTTCCGCCGGACCGTCGAACATTGTGGCTGGCCCAAGTTCCGGAGGAACTGGTGTCATTTCCACAGTTGAGGCCGACTCTGATAGTCATATGGAGTCTGTACCTGAGGAAGCAGTAGCCACAGCTTCAGCTCCAGCTAGTGCAGCCCCTTCGGAAGCCGAAACCGACACTTCCGACTCCAACAAGACCGTCTGATGGCGCTAAATAATTTTCCAGCATCTTTTTTTCCTAAATTTTTCTTTATCAAATGCTCCACACTCCTTTCTCTGACCGTAGTCGTTCTTTTATCTCTGTGAAATCTTTTCCTGTAGGCGATAATAAAAACTGTGTGCAGAAAAACATGCGTCCGATCGTTAGGAACCATCTTAGTCTGAATCGAGAATTATCCGCCGGAAGCAAATATTCAGACTGATAGTTATAAGTGCACGACTTGTTCCAAGGTAACTTATCAGCCAATATGCCCGGTTTGAACTCCAACCCATCTGACTCTAACTCTTCTGCTCGCAATGGCATCACTGGGGACGAAACGCCACCCCGCATTGCCTACTATCTGAACCCAAATACCGGGGAAGTTGAAATGGTTATCATTC